AACAAGGCGCTTAGTTCTCGATGCCGCCCATTTGTCAGCGGCAGATGACGAGATGGGAAGGGAGAGGTAAAAGATTGGACCAGGTGTTAATGTGGAGAAGGATATCACTATCAAAGAGAATGCCTGCTTAGGCAGTTTCACATGAATCAAAAGTTGGGTGGAAAAAAAAAACTAGGCCTTAGATTCTTACAACAGTTCATCATCTTTCCAAACCTGTCAGCCAATTATCTGGATCTTCCTACATCGTTGGACTTTAAACTCTCTGAACAAGGGTCCTCTTCTCCTTTGCATGTCAGCTTAGTCTTTCCCCCTGGTCGCTGATGACATTGTAACACTAATTACAGCTAATTGTTCTATGCTGAATGGGTTTAGTCACATTGCAAATGATATACCATTGGTCAGTGTCACAATGTTTCCACAGAAAAATTCAATGGGGAATGGAAATTTGCACAAATGAATGTAATTAAGAAGCACATTCATTACTTCTAATTGCATCTGAGAACCCTCAAAGTGAAACTGAGATTGGACTCATATGAATAATTAATGCAGCTTGCTCAACTGAGCACTATGGCGTTGTTGCCGTCACATAATGATGTGCTAAACTATTGGCATGCAGGACAAAATGAATGTTTTACATCGAGGCTGGTGCCGCTTAGTTGTAAATTCCAATCGCAACCAACTGAGTTTATTTTCATGCTTCCTCTCAAAATCCCTTTATTTAATGGGCATATTGTGTCTAGACAGTCAAATTCCGATCTTAGCACACGCTTGGAATTGGTGGCCAGACACACTGGAATAAGTTAGAGATTTGAAAAGTATTAAAATTTAAAGCGGTCCCTTCACACTATATTTTTCCAAAAAAAAGGGCAGTTGAAAATCAGTCAACCGCAAATTCCGTCTGAGAGCTATAATGCACATTTTGGACCTACAGAAATCAGAGTTGGGAACGTAACCCCCACAAAGTATGAACTCAGCAAGCCTTTAATCAGATTATATGTCTACTGGCATCAGGCATTATGTAATGACCTACAAAAGCCTTCGATGTAAAATCGCACAAGGAAAACAAATACAATGTATTAAACAAAATAATTGATAGAAATCTGTTGCTTGATGAAGCTTTTTCTTTTAGTAAAAAGTCTGTAGTTTTATAATACACCAGGAGCAGGTTTAAAACTATAATCTTATTATACTTGCAGTGTTTAAAAAGGATTGGCTTATTTTAATAGCAGATTTAGATCTTAGACAGACAAGGTGTAAGCTGGTCATTTGAAAGCCATATGCCACAGATTAAGATACTGCACCATATTCTACGGCTTTTTCATGTTACTTCCAGAGACTAATGCACTGCTTCAAAACTGCCTGTAGTGAGCTTCGTGTAAGTGGGCAAAAAGCACAAGCTCTTAAATCCCTCAGCTCCAACAACAGGGGAAAGAAATAAGTATATTACAAACCGCCCAGAGAACAAAATTGTGTATTGTTTGAAAAAAGTGAAGGATTTAGACTCAGGGATTTGCTCCCACTTTGCTGCTCTTTGTCTGGGGGCTTAGCTCTGTGTGCTGTTCATGACATGACGATTCCCATCATTCAGAGAAGAAGAAAAAAAACTACCGAAATGAACATACAGGATATTATCGTTCGATGTCAACAAATCAACTGATTCACATTAATAAGAACAAGGCCGTTGCTCACTTTTTTTAAAAACGACCACAAGCACTTTGTGAATCCAGGGAAAGTCACCCACTCCTGAAGCCTCCAAGGTCAACCTCTGTTTACCGGCATCAAGGTTGTTACTGTACTCGCCCTCTGACGTCACGTGAAACAGTGCGTCTTTCTTATCTGAGGAAAGAGATGCATTGCATTCAAAACATGAACTCCTGTTTCTGACATTTGATCAGCTGCTGCAACTCGGCCTGAAGGGGGACAGGTAAGATTCACCCTGCCTAAACGTTTTGGATGTGTATGTGAAAGTCAGCTGTCAGACCTAAAACACACATAATAATGACACTAATTTGCAGCTTTTATCTATTTGTCGAGGCAGTGGAGGAAATATGAAAACCTTTGGAACAGCGTGTTACAAAGGAGGCGACAGAGACTGATGCCGGGCGGTGAGGAAGCCCTGCAGGGGGAATCAAGAGCCTATAAAATGAACAGCCGCCTAACTCATAAATAATAGAAACATAAAATGTCACATGAACTTTATTTCAAGAGTGGGTGGCCTAATAAAGATGCAGGTTTAAAGAGGAGTTGAGAAATTCATTGTCACAAGAAGGCCACATTGGCTTGCCTTTGGCACCCGCAATTATTCAGTGCCAGCTGACATTCCGCTCCGAGTTGAAGCGACTTTGCGAAAAACAATGCCGTGCTTGACTCTTGAAGTTCTCTTTCCAGCGACTCGACGCTTAAGTCATTTGATTTCTCAGCCGTGTTTCCTCTTCTTTCACTTGGAGTCTTTCCATTTCCCCTGTCCCGTTTCCGCTTTCCCTTGTTCTTTCTGCTTTACAAGCTCGGGTCGACATCACAAGCGATAGGCGCCGCCTCGCCAGCCTGGTGCTCATTGATAAAGCCGTATCGTATCCATCTTAGACCCCCCCCTGCGTCACCAACGCACTCCTCTCTGAGACGGTCAACATGCAGAGGCTCCGACTCTCCTTTTGAACTAAGCATTACAGAGTGATAGTCCATCTTAAACCTCTGGAAGGAGAAAATGGAGTCGGATGAGTCAGGCATCTCACTCTGTCTTGAAATGTCGCACGGACGGGTGTGCATGTGCGCATGTGTGCAAGTGCATGTTAAATCATTTGCTTGACTTTAGTTTATTTTGGTGTAAAGTGTATTCATTTAAATCACAGCTTCCTGTATTTCCAAGCAGCTTGGAAAGTAATACATACTGTATATGAAAGCTGAATAGCTACATGCACTATATTTCATGAAATTGTATGTGTCAATTTATATATATATATTATATGGTGAATATACAAACCTCAAATTTGACCTGCTCTCTTTTCTATCAGTGAAACTTGGAAGATTGACTTAACTAATTTGGTGTGATAAGTTAACAACTGAGTGTTGCTGGGAGCTTTCTGGTAAAAAAAAAGAAGTATTTTCAAATATTCAACCTCTAATATTCAACTCCAATATTGCACTCTTGCTCGGTTAGTATGGTAACACTCTTTCTCTAAATTTTAATGCAGCAATTTGTAAGTGTACACATGCATCTACCACATTAGCATGGTCTTCTATCTAAAACTAATCCAATTCAACAAATATTACCCCAGAGGGGAAGTGGGTAATAAGTGCAGTGTTTGAGTAAGTGTATGAGGTAGGAGATGTTTATGTCACTGAATATTAATGAGATGATGAGCAATAGCCTCTGTATGTGAATGCGTCCCATATATGAATCACTGCTGCCATCAGGGTGAATCCATTAAAGGGAACAGCTGGGAAGGAGGTTTGTTCATTAGATGTATGTGTTTGGATATGTGTTTATACACGTGCCTGGTATACAGATGTGTGTGTGTGTGTGTGTGTGTGTGTGTGTGTGTGTGTGTGTGTGTGTGCCGTGTTATGTGCTTTGGGCGATATAGAGATCAGCTGGTTGTTGCCGGCTATCTTAGAAAAATATATGCCTTTCTGTTACTTGCAATATACTAAAAAGTCACATATGGGACTGATGTTTGCATGTGAATGAACAGGAAGCCATAGCCAGGATTTCCACCCATCTTGTCTAATGTCTAACAAACGCATTCACCATCGCACACTGACACCCGAGGCCCAGACGTGTCGGTGCAGCTGCCGGCGAGGCAGATGCACAGAGAGCTGTTGTCTCACTTACAACTATGACACAATGACTATGCTGCACGTAGGTGCATGCAAACCAATCTATTTCTTCCTGTGCCCTGGCTTTTTTTTGCAATACAGAACACAAAAAAATACTTTTTTTGACAAGGAACGCAGTGGCGGAAGCATTTCTAGCAATGACACCCAAGAGCCAAAGGAGGAGTGAAGGTCTGCTCTGATGTGAGCCTCGATCCAGACTGCAACGTATGAGTGTTACCTCAAGAAAAGAAAATGCAACCCATCAGGACTAGAGTATCCAGCTTGAAGTAAGAGGGTTGGTATGTGACAAAGAGGGATATGGAACTTACAGTAGCCTTGTTCATCTCAAGTTGGAGCAAAATTGTTTTAGCAGCATCATTGGCATGCTTCTTGTGTTGAATCTAAACTACCACTGGTGGAAAAACCCAGAATCCTCTATGGTGTCTCTTCAGCACACTTTTCTCCCTCAGCCAGTAATTTGAGCAATGCGTTTGAAACAAATCTGCTGTATATGTATGAGGTAGCAGTGTTGATTTCCTGTTTTTCATGGAGAACATCATTGGGCAGTGAGCCAGGCAGTGACAGCTGTCTTGTGAATCATTTGAATAAACTCGGTTCCAACTTCAGAGGTGCGGTTCCTCTACCGTCTACAGCGTAGCACTGGGTAACATTGACAAAACTCAGCCTTGCAAAATTAACGGGCAATAATAAAATGTTGGCACTCTGGTGACAACATGGTCACTGCTTGTTTTGATCAAATCCAATTATTTTGCTTTTCTAATGCAGCCGAGATTGTTGTTTTTAAATCTCAACCCAGCGGTTTTATTTATCTCTTTTAGAATACAGCCCTCCTTCTCGGTTGAATTCTTGTGCAACAAAACTGTTGTCCTTCACATCGCAAAAAAACCCTCACAAACACAGCAGGTGTAGCAAGAAACGTTTCTGTTTAACTAGTTTGTCACTCGTTTTTTTTTTTTTTTTACCAGAACATTGTACCTTGTTAAATGTTTGCAAGGATATCTTGTTTCCATGACAATCACAGCTGTAATCCCAGTGAAGTTATTTTACCGTCTAAAAACCCAGATGGACACTTGTAAACTACATAATGGAAAGTCGGCCTCAAAAAACACGACAAAATGAATGAAAATGGATTTCCTGCCGTCCGAGCAAAAATCAGTACTCACTAGATTCAGGGTCTGAGTTTCCGTCTCCCTCGGTGCGGCTGTTTGGTGATGTTTGCTCATAGTACTCTTCCTGGGGGAAGCTGAGGGGGAGAGGTTGGGTGGTGCTGGCAGTGCTGCTCGGCTCTGGGTCTCCGAGCCCGCTGTCACTGCAACTCTCTTGGGAACCGTCGGGAAGATGGAACGTCACGCGGCGCTGGGTCTGGAGCACACCAACAAACAAGCAGTGTTCCCTCAACAATGTGTCCAAAAGTACAACGTCGTCATCACACTTGCCTGATTTTTGTTGGAAAATATGCCCCTAAATTGCATCCTGTCACTAAGGGGGTGCTCTTTGAAACAGAAACCTCAGAACCCCAAAGTAATTTCAGCTTTGTTAAACTTAAGGAATTACTGACTAAAAGATGTATAATTGAGGCTTTTTATCCTGTGAATAGATGGGATGTGTATTATCAGTTTGAACTGTCCTAGTTTTCCTTCTCACCCAGTTTAAACACTAAATTGAATAGAATAGAAATGTGTGTGGAGGCTGAGACTTTGATTTGTCTTGAGGATCACAGCAACGTGGGCATTTTACTTTGAAAGGTCTAGGCGTCTTTGATTTGCCCGTGGTTTACAGAAGTTCATGGTGCGACCTTTCTTTGGAGCTATAAAAACAGAACATATCTTGTGTATGTGTGCGCTAACATGTAAGCGATTCCTCCAGAAGAAACAGCACACACATCCGGAGCGCGGTGGGTAATCTGTACTGGAGATACCATTGTTTTCCGTTTTTTACTTTGAGTTTGACAAAGAAAAAGAAAAAAAAAAAGAAAAAGAAGACTCAGGCGATCTGACTTGGCTTTGAGATGCATCTGTAAAATTGTCACAGGAAAATATACTTTAGCTTAAATTCATGGATACATACAACTCCCCAACTAGCACCATACTGCATCACAATGTAAAGAACAATAAAACACATTAAATATAATTACACCCTCTGCTATGGTTATTGCTGGGAATTTCATTCATCCCATTATTCAAGCTGATGAGAGATTTATTTTTCAGGGGAAAATACAACTGAAGCCCAAATTACTATGTTGATTTACTTCGTCACTGTAGCAACAGGAGCAATGTGTGAGTCCTGAATTAAAAACATTATAAACAGGCTGAATCAGGCCAGGAAAATGGGAGAGAAGGAGACAGAAATAAAGCCTGGAACTAATGAAGGACACACTGCCAAAAAAGAAGTGCACAAAAAAGCTTCATTTACAAACTATCAGAGAGGGTTGACTAACCTAAATCCACACAATTAGTACCCTGGGAGCACAACTGAATGCTTTTCAATGATGTGATGATGAAACAGCTAGCTAGAAATGCCATTCACTTGATTCGACTAGATCCTGAGGCGGCACGTATATTCTAGTAAGTAGAAGACATCAAAGATAAACAGGAAAAAACACACAACCTTTACTACTCGGAGATAACTCTGAAACAAAAGGTTGTTTTTGGTGGTTGTTTGTAGTAGGAGAATAATAAAGAATGCTCTTATTTCTGAAAAACATACAAATTTGAGATACAGGACGGAAAATATATCCGTTTTTTGCTTCATGTGTTGCGATGAATTCTGCAGACAAACAACGAGGTATATTTCTATGGTTCGGCATCGAGAGGAATGCTTTTCTCCACCTACCATGCGGTTCTATTCATGTTCTATGAGAGGGATGAATACTTTCAAATCATATAACGTGTGCCATGCCTGCCCACGCTTTCAAGTAGTCTAAATATCTACTTGTCCTCAAACAGCATTACAGCATTGGCAGCTATTTCTTAAATTACTGGATGATGCACGCAAACGGCATCATCCAGGTTCACAAGAAAGAGCCCACTTATGAAAGGGTGGCTGCTTCTTCTCTACATGACTCTAATTATTCAAAACTTGCTCCAACAATGGCATCCAAAATCTATTAGAACAAACAGCTGTCCGCGACAATTAGGACATAATCATTTTGCATAAGGCAGTGTCTTCATTTTAGACGGTTGTTTATTCAAGCCCATTGAAGTTGCTGCCAGATGTTAAGAAAAGTCTAATTTGATTTCACCGCACGCTCAATACTAATTTGTATTGAGCTAAAATATTAATTCCAATTAAACACTTAATTGGTCTTAAATAAATAAAAGTTTTGAATGAATAATGTGAATTTAACATTATGTTGAAAGATAAACATGAAAAACAAACACAAACATTCACCGAGGAGTCAAGGGGAGTGTTTTGCTAGGAATTATCACTTATTTGAAGAAGCTGCCAGAAATCCATAAAGCAAAGACAAGCTGTGGTAAGAGATATCAAGACCAAACAAAGCCTGTACAGCCAGATAAAACACTGCCTTGAGAAGTATGTACACAGCGATAAAGCGAACAGGAGAGATGCATGCCAGGGTCCAGCATACAAGATGCAAGCCAATCCAAACCCCCCCCCCCTCTGGGAGCCACCCAGACAATAAGCAGATTCACAGGTTCCTGGATTAAAAGTAAGATATATTTAGACATACAGGGAGGAGAGGCCAGGTGGCCGCAACCTTTTTGCTTCGGTGGGCCGCCGCGCTTTCTGTTGTATTATTAAATATACATTTGCAGCGACTAAAACGCTCTAGAAATAGCAGGAAGTTGGTGCTGCACAGAGAAGGACTTGGCTGACAACCTCCTCACTTTGAGTGATAAACAGGGACCACTTAGGATTGAATCAGGGGAGATTGGCTCTGCCATTTCAGATAAAGATCAGCTTGCGGGCACACCTAGACATGCATAAATCTGTTGAGTGGAGATGGGGATTTGTCCTGTTGCACATGTGGGGGAAAAAAAGCAAATGGCAAGGTATTTATCCTAAAACTGTTGTCCCGCGGGTCGCTGTTCTCCATAATACCAAGACTGTGCAATATCCACTCAACTGTTTGTCATCTTACTTTGCGACTGCATCCTTTGTTTTTCTACATGCTGTTCCAGCTTAGCCTATTCGGTGTGAGGTGATATGACGCCGCGTGTGAAATGATGATGTTAGCGGGAACATGCAAGTAGGAGGTGATTGTAGCAAGTGGGATGAGAGATTACTGGGTGGTTTTTGACATCAAATTTGAACAGTCTCAACCAATATTGAGTCATATGCCATGATGATCTTCTCATGTTTAGTAATATTTTTCAATTGTACCAATGAAGGGTCCTACACTGAAGTGCAATGATCCTGGGTACTAAACCACTTAATAATCTGTTATATATTAACCATATCATGGCTATATATCTGCAAATGGTTTTATGAATCCACATCAAATAATATTAGAACTGAATAGCTGAATCGCGCCTGAGTGTTTCCCCGGGTCTGTCTGACCATCAGTATATGGGAATTAGTTGTGTTTTCCCCCGTGAATAGGACTAGATTTCCCGAGTGTAAGACACTAATAAATCTACCACTACCCAAATACGTCTGCTGATTAAATCCATGCTCTCCTTTGTATATGGGGTGAATAATATTTCTATTTGGCAATTACCTCAACCAACTGCATTCCAGCTACGTTACTGGCTATACTATTTCCCTTTTCCCAAACTGGGAATGTTTGCATTGACAATAGTAGACAAATTTGAATTCTGCTGCACGTTATGACAGCTGTTGAAGATGCTTGCAATTCTAATGCGATGCAAATTGATTTAACGAATGTTTTCATATTTTTGTAGTCAACTCTGAATCTGCAACATGATCAGGAAACATTTTCGTTCCAGTAGAGTAAAACAACCTTCAATGTCTCAGAATGCTAAAATAATACTGTATTACTATTTAAATATGTTTAGATATAAATACCATAGTAAACCTATATCTGTTTTTAGTTATTAGTGTGATTGTATTTCTCCCTCACCTTGAGAGGCTGCGTGTGACACAACTATGATCGACAGCTGTATTGCTCAGATAAATTGATTGTATCAGCATTTAAAAAAATAAAATCTACCACACTACAGGACAAACATTCTGCCGGTAAAAAGCAGGCATGTTTTTAACGGGTAGTGCAGTAGTTCAAATCATTTACTACATGGATGGTGGTCATCACAGTAACATAGCAGATTTAGAGAAACAATATTTTATTTTTTGAGAGAAAAATACTTTTTTTTAGAAACTAACCAATGTGAGATATAGTAATAGACCTCATGGTTAGGAAATTGGCATGCAAAAGGAGCAGAGAACATACTTACATTCATAGAGGTTATCTTGCCAAGTTGACAGGCCTCCTAGAAAGACAGAAGAACATTTCAGGTCACTGTTTGACTGCAACTTTACAGAGCAAATACTGTGGAAATGTTTAGGTCCAGCCACAACTGCAACATTCTGTTCGAATTGAGATTAGGACACATTGTTTTTTCTCCACAGAACCAGTGCATATTTTCATGCTCACGCCAGCAAACGTGGCTGCAGAGTGCAAACCCTCTCCCCAAAAATGTAAAGAATAGGGCAAGACGCACCGTACAACTGACAGTTTGAAATAGATGTTTTCTCTGCATGTCAGAACGGAATGTGGAAAGAATATCAAATGACGCATCAGAAATTAACAATAAACAGCGACAAGCTTCTAAATTGGGAACAAAAGACGACTGCAAGCCTGCAAAATAGAAGCCTCTCTCTGGGGACTGAGATGACTCACAGAGAGATAAGAGTATTTAATTTTTAATCACCAATTTTGTTTTCTTTGTACTGTGTATGATAATATAAGTACATGACTTGATTTTCAAAGAAAATAAAAGAAATCTGGCAGTGAGGAGCCATTTAGACATGGAGAATCATAAAAGACTATCGGGGAAGAATGGTAAAACAATGAACAGGAAACACATTCTTGTCAACAGATTATCCCATTATAATTGTTCACCGAGGGATGCTGCTTCTAACTGAGCAATAGAGCTGTACACCCAAAGCTTTTCATCAAAACAATATGGAGCTGCAAGGCCTACAACTGAACCAAATTATCTCCCAACCCCTGACAAATAACCACGTGGCTGAGAAAATCAATGTCACCGTAGATTAGTGGTGTGTCGAGGTAGTCATGGACATATTTAAGAAATGTTTAAAAGGTAAACACTAAATCGGTGCATTGCCAGGAGGCATACATACAGGATTTTGTTGATTACATTCGCAATGTTTTTTTGTGAATAATATCAATATCACTAATATGAACATGTCACTCACAATGTGTCTCGACAACAGTTTTATATATTTTATAAGATTTATATTTTTTATTCATATTTTGTATTAAGCTGCTTATTAATTTTAACACTAAATATTTATGGGACTAATGTGCTTCTATGCCACCTTAACTTTTTTCTGATAAAGAAATCGTTGTTATTTGAAGTTATGATGAATCAGTTTTGAGCCAAATTGCTCGGATTAACTGCTTAATCGGTACATAATGGGAACATTGGACTTGCATTTGCCAGGTGGAGAGAAACGTGACTCTTCAGTAATGACGATTTTACATTTTGTTTTGTTTTGCTGGATGTGACAAAAGACAACCATGCAAAAATGACGCAATCTAAAACAGGACTGTCTGATTGCATATGTTAAACATATGCCGGTCATGTTTAAAGAGATCTTCCAATTTTGTCATAAGCTGCTGAGTATAATTCCACTGCACATTCTACATACCACACACATTACATTACATTACATTACAGGTCATTTAGCAGACGCTTTTATCCAGCAGTCTGATTTCAGGGCTGCAACGCGCTACAGCACGATCCTCTCTAGATTCATTGAAAGGGATAAAGAATGTTTAATGAACGTGATTTCTTGAATAAATAGATTTAAAAATATATATGCATGTTCTTCTCTCATCATTTATTGCATAATTCAGCACACCAACATTTGTCTGGACTCATTTGCATTCAGTGACTGGTCATTTGAAGCAGGATTTTACTTGAGGCTGCCATTAAGCAGTTGTTTCTTCTCCAAGTAATGTTTTATTCAGCATCTCGTGACACTTACTTCAAGCTAGAGACCTTGCGAACCAATTAAATAGATGACAATGTACATGAGGGATCTGAGAAGGTGACCTATGCTTGTTTCATACTTAGATGACGGCCAAAATAAAAGTTGTACATCTGATTGTTGGAGAGTTTTTTTTTTGTACCTGGTATGGATTGGTCAATGACCTTCTCTCTTCATGTAAGCCTCTCAAACTAACCGTTTCAAAGCACCCACATGTGTGCCTGGGAGAGAGAGTTATGCTTAGGATAAGGGCATTTGTTGGTGAACCACATCAAAGTAGAGAGCAATGACTTAGTGAGCAAAGGCAGTGGAACTCGAACCGAGCCTTTGATTGCTCCAGGCACTATGATCATTTAAATACTGGATAAATAATTGATTTTAAACACCAGATCTTATTGTTTCTGTATCCAAATGAATCCATATTGTGAAAGCATGTATGTAGGTAGGAGCATGTAGAACACTGTAACATTGTACAGCCTGCTGCGTTCACACTTTCTCTTTTTTATTACTCTACCATGTGAAACACTGTCTATCTGTTCTGCAGCACTATCTCACAGTGTCAACGTGAGGCCGGTTGGAGGGCTGCAATAATCTGTCTCTTCCAGTGAGGATCTGAACTACGGCATAGAGGTGAAAGGAAACGGTCATAGTCAAAAGGTAGGTGAGAGTGCATTGCAGCGGTGCACAGGTTGCTGGAGGGGAGCTAATATTGTATCTACAGTGAAGCCTGCAGTATGCAAAAGACAATGAACCCACTGCGTGCATGCAGAGGATATTAAAAAGAGAATTCTCCATCAGCTTTGGTGCATACACTAGTTAATCTCCCTCAATCTATTTAGAACATGAAAATGAACCTAGATTAATGTAGGTTTCTAACTTAGGAGAGCAGGCCAAAGAGATGTGCATTTATTACTTTACATGCGTCTAAGCATTAAAGCTAAGCAATATCCTTTACACAACTATTGGGTTGACAATAAAGGCACAGTCGGTTGTTGGTAATTTCATTATTAGGCCTGTGTTTCATTTCAGAAGTCCTGTACTGTGATGTAGGAACAATGATTTTGATCATGATGGCGCCGACAATAGCTGCCACGGTGCTTCGGTGCGCTTCGTTTTTTGTTGTTTTTGCTGTTAATTATGTTTCCTGTTGCGATTCCCGGAGCTTTCACCAGAGATGAGCTCTTGAACATCATTTACTTGTCACTTTCTGTTCGCTGGTGCACTTTATTTTTAAAGAAAAAAAAAGAAAAATTTCCTGCAAAGAAAATTTTAAATATTTTAACTAACTTTTATTCCTTTATTTTTAAACTAACCCAGTCTTATACTACTAAACCATAGCATTATATTTTATTTTATTCCTCGTGCACTGTTGTACAGCAAGTCAAATTCGTTGTATGTCTGACATATTATGGCAATAAATGTTTCCTGATAAAATATAAAGCTAACAGAAATGCCTGCTCTTCACAAGTATTGATGGGGAAGAAACTGCAAACAGAAAACGTATTTAGCTGAAGTGATAATTCTTGGCGAGCTGTCTCACACGTACAGCAGATCAAAAAACTAAATGTCAATTTTCTTTCTTCTTTTTTTTTTCATTTCTTTGATAAGATTTCCCCCTTGACCCTTGTGACATTACCAAATCGGGGCCTTGCCATTGTCCTTGTGCTCATTTTCAGCAATAACTATGACAGGTGCCAAAATGATCATTGACTTCACAACTTGTGCTTAAACATTTTTACACCAACTTTGTCTGACTTCATCAATCCGTCAGATAGCGTCACAGTACACCGCTTTGTGGAGTGATATATTTATTAGCAGTACGGTCCAGGTCTTAATTTGTTGTACTTGTAGACGCTTTGCTGCAGTTTGTAAAAAAAAAAAAATCGAGAACGTATGATGTGATAACTTTAAGTTCGAATGAAAAGCTTTAAAAAGGAGCTCCTCCCAGGGGTCCCCATGCTCCTAATAGTTTAACACTAATGAGATCTGCTGTTCCCATCTGTACTGCCTCCCACGTTACAGAACTCTTCATAGGGTGAATACCTTTGAAGGTGGGGAGAAGCGCAGAGCGAGGCACAGAGACAGCAAGCATAGCTAGCTAGACGTATTCTCTTGAGCTGCCAGTGTGCTGCTTTTCAATTTATCCAGTCTTCCTGGATGAAGTCTGTGAAAATAATGGTCAAGCTGGACTTGTCAGGACTTGTCAGGTCTGCTCTGTGTACCAGAAATGTCTGGCCAGCGTGACAGTCTATACGACTCAAGCTGTTTAGAGAAAGGCTGGAGAAAAGCAGGCGGCCTGCCACCAAGTGCTTACCAACACAGGTGAGACGGATGCAGCTGAATTCATCAGTAGAGGAGAAATGACGGCACAGTCACACACTTTCAGACGTACGCACGCGTGATGCAAATAGTGACAGTGGGAAAATTTGAACGAGAATGCCAACTGCTCAAAAGACGTGGATGTCTCAGCCAAGCAACAGCGGGCTGAGTTCAAGTTTGTGTCACTTGTGTTTCTGGCGAACGCAGCACACCTCAGACAGCGTGATAAAACTGTTGCAAACAAAACACCTCCTCATCAAAAGGAACTAATAAAGTCTTCAATATACTTAAGTGTAGCCTCAGATAAATAGAATCCTCATTTCCCTCTACATTGGTGTTCAGTTGTCCAAAGTGTATTGATGTACCTATTGACATTCAATAAAGAGAAACCCTCTCAGCAAACCCTGCAGAGTGGTGTAAATCCTGTACACGTCTTGAGTGCTCACAAGGAACAGCTTTCCTTTTACACAATTACGAGACAGCAATAACGTCAGAGTGTGTTCGAACCAATTTTGATTTACAAGTGGACAACATGCTGCCTTTTCATCAGCTTATTATTATTAAGTGGTCCGTATATGTGTGTTTTCCCTCGACAATCCACCCCCCTTGCTTCACTCTAAGCGAGGTATTGATCCTTCCAGTCTGCCGCCCCCTCCTAATTTCATTAGGCTAGCTGCTGTTAATTACTCCACACTCTAACCTTTAGCTGTTTCATTTGGACCAACAAATTGGGTGAATTAAAAAACAGGGAAGGTAGGGAGGGGAAAAGAAGAAGCTGCCTGGCAGTTGTAGTGATGGACCCCCCCTCCCTCTCTGTGGTGCCTGTGTCAGAATCCCAAGCGGCGTAATAATTAAAAAAAGTTCATCAATTTTCTCATGGCTCATCAAATTATGCAGAAGGATCCTACACCGGCAATTGTTGCAGAGGATTAAT